AAGCATTATGAATTCAATCCTTTAAATTTTTCGTCATTCACATGGACACAAAGCTCTCCGGGTGGAAAGGTAATAAATTACTATTCACCATTTACATGTATATATCGAGGAATTGTGACATTTATGTATGTGTATTCTAATTTAAGGTGGTTTAATTGTTAGGGTTTTTATTTGTTTACTTATCCACATGGTGTTCATTAATTTATTGCATATGTTAATTCTCTTGGGATTTGATATTTAAATCAAATAGTTGTGATTGATTATATCTATAGGATGAGTTTTTCCAAAGTTATACATAATTTTGTATTGTGACTGATTTTTTGTTTTGTTCCTATTTGGTAGATGGATGTTATTACATTGTTTCTCTATTGGGGTGGTATAACTTGTGATGGTCCAGATGGTATAAATTATAGTAAATGTACAAAAAAAAACTATCATTCTTAACCATATAATACAATTTCATGAATTGGTCGACTATATATATATATATATATATATATATATATATATATTATATATATATATATATATATCATGCTGTATATTTTGATAAACATCAAGACCACATTAACTAATTATTCTGCAGATAGCCATCAGTTGGTACTGGAAAATGTTATAACATACATTACTCTTCCCATAAAAGATAATGATGACGTTAGCATTATGTTTGATATGCTTCTTCTCCATCACCAAGTAACCTTGATTTATATTTACATGTTGAAGACAATGTTTAAATTCAACACATAGAGATGGCTTCTGTGACATCCCCAATTTCACGGCCAGAAAAGACCGATTTGTTTATGCTTTGTTTTAAAATCAGAGTAATCTTTTAAAGAAAACAGTTGCGGAATTTGTTCCCAAACAAAATATGATAAAACTTTATCAAAACATTTCTCAAAGAGAAAGTACTTTTCATTAAATAATAAAACCTCAGGATGTCATGTTCCGATACAGACCAAAAAGCATAAACAGTACAATTTAACCTTACAGAAGTTATTTACAACTACTGGTCTATAATCCAGAATCTCTCGTCAAGTCAACCAACTTATACTCTTGTGCCACAACCTGTAATGCAAAGAAAACTGAGTGAGTCAGGCTTGGGAGCCTGGTGAGCATATAGGGTTTTCAACCCACAATATTATATCTTATATATATATATATATATATATATATATATATATATATATATATATATATTATATATATATTCAATCATCAAACGATCATTCCAATTACCCATCCCCATTATCTTCCTTACTCTTAAGGGTCTACCCTAAGAGTCATCTATTCGTTCACTCCGTATTAGACACTAAGACAATAGCTGCCAGGATTCTTTATTAGGCACTAAGACAATAGCTGCCAGGATTCTTTATTTGGCACTAAGACAATAGCTGCCAAGGTTCTTTCGTAAAGCACTAATTCCATAGCTGCTATGGCTCATTCATCGGGTACTAAATCCATAGCTACCAGTGTAGGTACTAAGTCCATAGCTACCAACGTTTATCTAACAGGTACTAAATCCATAACTATCATCGTCTATCTATCAGTACTAAATCCATAGCTACCAGCGTTCGTCTATACGGTACTAAATCCATAACTATCATCGTCTATCTATCAGTACTAAATCCATAGCTACCAGCGTTCGTCTATACGGTACTAAATCCATAGCTACCAAGGTTCATCTATACAGTACTAAATCCATAGCTACTGAGGTTTATCTTTACAATACTAAATCCATAGCTACCAGTGTAGGTACTAAGTCCATAGCTACCAACGTTTGTCTATACGGTACTAAATCCATAGCTACCAAGGTTCGTCTTTCGTCTCATCCTCAAACTCATCCGTCATCACACACCAACTAATTCGTGTACCCATGTTCTACCCAACATATTTGTAGATATAACATACATATACAGTTTAACTCATTTAATACCTATATAAAACATCCATTCCACGCTTATCTCAAATAAACAACAATGTATAAACACATAACACGTATTTCGTAGCAAATACTTAATACTTATATGTTAGAAGAAAGTAACTATACACTCACTCATAACATAGATATAATACATTCAACCGATACTTGTACTAAGATCGTGTTTATGAAAGGGACTATACACTCACTTGATCAGAAGATGATCGGACAACACTACGGCTCTAAAAGTAGTATTCTTCGGTGAAACCGAAAGATCTTCACACACCGGGCCTCTCGCGGGCAGAGCTTCGGCTCGGAAACTCTTTTCTTCTCGGGATCTTCGGCACTTCGGGACTTGCTTCGGGTCTCGGGATGATACCGGGGCTTCAGGGGGTTAAAATAGGGCTTAGAGAGGGTATCGGGAGTAAGAGAGTAAGGGAGGAGCAACCAAAATCGGCTGACCCTTGATTTCTATTTATAGGGTGAATTTTCTGGGTTCACGTCGTGAGTTTCAAGTGCTCACGTCGTGGGGCTTGATCGTCACTGCATGCGTCATCACAAGTGGGGTCTGACAGAGTCCAGGTGACGTTTTTCTGAGTTCACGTCGTGAACACAGTGTTCACGTCGTGAGTTCTGACACAGGATCGGATTTCATGCCCCGAACTTCAGAAATTCATATATTTCGCATACGAGCTCCGTTTTCGACGTTCTTTATATGCACGCGTAGGTGAGATTATGCTCTACAGCTCTCCTTTAGACTCCGTTGGCTATTTTTGAATTTATTTTTATTATATTTTTATTATATTATTTTTAGTAGGCCGGGACAGGAAAACTCCGTTAGAAATTCATATCTTCTTCGTCTGACGTCTGTTTTCGTCTGTCTTTTTACCGTTGGACTACTATCGATGAGATCTTCAATTCTCATTTAGAAAGTTTCGACTAGAAACCACTCGATCTCAAATTCGAGTATTCGGGCTGCATACCGCTAAGTCGAAACTTCGAAAAATCATATCTTCCTCATACGAAGTCAGATTTAGACGTTCTTTTTATGCACGCTCTCGGTTTAACGATCTCTACGACTTTCGTTTAGATCTCTAAGGCTATATATCGCTCTATCGTAAATTCATATTTTACGTCATTCAGCGTCGTGCCGGTTCTGTCGCGAAACTTTGACAGGTCGTAACTTCTTCGTTATAACTCGGATTTCGGCATTCTTTATATATTCGGAAACCTTGTAACATATACTACAACTTAGTTAAGATTAATCCTTCTAAATAATCTTCCATCAAAAAGTCATTTTTGATGTTTATCGTCTCTAAATTGACTAGCCCGGATGTACGGGCGTTACAGCTTCTATGTATAAACATTTGACTAGAGAGACATCCACTTGAAAGATGGACACTTGCATATGATGGTAGTAGGAGATATGGGCTGCTTACTATAATTTTTTCAGAGATTTTTAACAGTGTATTTAAATGTGCTCGATTTTTTTACCAATCACAACTTGTGTCCAAGTTATTTTCTATAGATTTGTGCATTAATTTTATGCGAGGCGTCCTTTAGGATCTAATGCCCGATCTAATGGATGTGCATATACGCCTCTTTGCAAACCATGTAGTTTTGATATCAAAAGCAAGTACACACTATGTGAGACGTTTTAATCAAAAGAAATGTTATTGGAGTTGATAACTCAAAGATAAGGTAATGTGCAAGTAGTTATTTTGGACCAAAAAACATGTACATGTGGTAAATTGAAATATCTTTGTTCTCATGTCTTGAGTGCATGTGTCAAACTTTCATTGAATGATTGACAATATGTTTATAAATGTTACTCAATTATAGAGTATTGTTCTACTTAGGCATCTGAGTTTTCCCCACTTCCTACTGAAGCGTATTGACCACAATAATCATCTAGAGAATTGCTTCAAATTTAAAGCTTTTGCGGAATAAAAAAGGTTGTCCTCGTTTAACGAGACTATGAAATGGAATAGACCTCAAAGAAGGAAAAAATAGGTACCATTGTGGAATTTGTAGACAAAGTGGTCACAATCGGAAAAAAAAATATGTATAAGCAGAGGTAAATGATGAGACATTTAAGCTAATCAGATCAAACTAATAGAAGTCATTGTTGAATTTGTACTCAGAAAATCAATGTAGGTTTGATGTTGGTTTTAATTTAAGATGATTTTTTTTATTTAGGAACGACAAATCTAACCTACTCCTAAATATTCTTAATACCACCTATGTCCCGGATGTGACTTGAAATCTCAACCTCAAGAATAAAGGGCAACACATGATACTGCGGAACAAGAAGGTCATTTGGTCGTTTATAAATGAATCATATTAACAACCCAAGACATTATTGAGATTTATTTTAATTTATTGTGACGATGAAATAAGATATTATATGTTTGTATTTTGTTTTTTATAAGACTTAATAGCAAAGAGTAAAAAAATTAAAATTTATATTTAAAAGTTGTAAAAGTTAAAACAGTAGCTGAAAACTTTAGAAAAATTAAAAAACACTGTTTGTGGTAAATATTTTGACTATCAGACTTTCTGTTAAATATATTTGAAAACATACTTATTTTGTAAATATTTTTTAAAACACAAACTTTATATAAGTTTGACACTTGGTAATGTTACATTTGGAATGAAAACTTTATATAAGTTTGACACTTGGTAATGTTACATTTGGGATAAAAACTTTATATAAGTTTGACACTTGGTAAGGTTAGAATTACGTTTAAATTTGAAAATCTCGAATTCGCAACAATGTATAAATTAACTGTATTGTGTAATTCTACTAAATATAGGTTATACACATTTTAGGAAAATGGAATTTTTCGCTATTAATTTGATGCATTCTTCTACAAGTTACCAGTTGTATAGAAAGTGGTACAGGAGGAGGATATCAGAAAATGATAAGACTAATTTTTGTTTTATAGGATATGGGATGTCTAGACATTCGAGGAAAATGTGGGTCCCTTTATATGAAGTCGAGACTTGAGACTTGGGAGTTAAGACTTAAGACAGTTACGAGAATTTACAAAACAGTCCTTATTTTTCATATAGATCTCAAATGAGCCCTCCATCAAACAAAATAAAGTCCAAATATACTCCAACGCATATCAAACAAAATATAATCCGAATTCAGAACGGATCGGGCGCGGGTAATTCGGGTTTCAGTTATTTTTTGACAGCGCTAGACTCCTTCGTCGCTTCTCACGTCGTCAGCTCCTCAAGCGATTCCTCCCCTCGCCGCCGTATGCCATCGCCTCCCATGTGAAGCCAGCGGCCACCTTCGCACTCCACAGCTACAGGTTCCATTTTTCATCAATTTTTTCTGCTTTCGTTCTTTCTTTTTTTTTTTTTTTTTTTTTTTTTTTCCTGTTTTCATTCTTTTTTTCCCTGCTTTCTGTTGAAACCGAAAATATTCATTTCAAGGTTACCAATGTTGTTAGTGATGGTACCTTTTGCTTATTTCGATTGTTGGTTTACAGAACTCGTGTTTCTTGTTCATGTTTTTAATTGTTTGTTGTTTGGGTTCATCGATTGATGTTAATAACCATGTTCATCTTGCTTTGCTGATTATGAAGTGACTTGATTTGTTTAGTCTTATGGCTTGTATTTCTGAGTAACCAAAGTTTACACGATGAAAAAACCACTCAAAGTTAATAGAAAGGTTTGAAATCAGATTGCATAGAAATTAGAATGCCCAAAAGATTAGAAATCAGATTGCACGCAAGCTGTTTGATCAAATGCCTGAGAGGGATTACTTTCTTTATATGCATGTTTTCACTATTCAGTTACATGTTTTAACTTTTAACATATCTATTTGGATGTAGGTAACTTTGGAATGAACAATAGTACATATTTAATACGTGTCCTTCTTTTTGTAGTTTAGTCATTCATAATGAAAGTGATGATTCGATCGCAATAAATGGTTTCACTTTGTAACATTCCTTATGACATATTTACAGTTGCAAAACTTGATTGATCCAAAGAGGCATTAGCATTACAACAAAGGCGACTCCAAATCAAACACAAATGGCAACTCATCTTATAAAAAGAATAACTTTAAACCCTTCCCATTCACCCTTTTCCCTTCGCCTCAAAACAACCTCCTCTCAATACGTAGCTTCTAGAATCCGAGATGCCACATTTGAAAAGTTCATGGACAAATACAAAAACCTCCTTAAAGTTATCTCCATCCAAGACCTAATCCTTGCAAACCCAAACAACCCACCCTCCGTCTCAGTCGATTTCCTCAACCGCCTCTCTCAAAAACTCCACCTCAACCGTGGCGCCACCGCGTTTTTACGAAAATACCCTCGAATATTCGAAATCTTCTACGACACTTCCCTCTCTCAACCCTACTGTAAACTCACCCCTTTAGCAATACAAATATCAAAAGAAGAGCATGAAGCTATTACCAAAACTCACCCTCTTGTTATCAACCGTTTGATTCGGCTTTTGTCAATGTCATTATCCAAAACACTTCCACTTCGTGCTATTTTCAAAGTATGGAGGGAACTCGGTCTTCCAGATGATTTTGAAGATTCAATAATATCTCAAAACCCGAATCTTTTTCTTGTTCTTGATGCCCATGAACCCAATACACATCTCATTAAACTTATCGATACTAATCCTAGTCATGATTTGACGACAGCTGTTGAAAATTGGAGGGTTATGGAGTGTTGTAAAGATGATTGTAGTGTTGATAGAACGGAAATTAGGTTTAGTTTTAAACATAGTTATCCTCCAAGTATGAAATTGAAGAAGAATTTTAGGGCTAAAGTTAAAGAATGGCAAAAGTTGCCTTACATAGGGCCATATGAGGAGGTGAGAGGTGTTAAGAAGAGGAGTAAGAATGGAGTTATGGAGGTTGAGAAACGAGCGGTTGGAATAGTTCATGAGTTTTTGAGTTTGACTGTGGAGAAGGCAGTGGAAGTGGAGAAGATAAGTCATTTTAGGAAGTGGTTTGGGATTGATTTGAATGTGAGGGATTTGTTCTTGGATCATCCGGGAATGTTTTATTTGTCAACTAAAGGGAAGAGACATACGGTTTTTTTAAGAGAAGGGTATGAGAGAGGGGGTTTGATTGATCCAAATCCCGTGTATTGTGTGAGGAGGAAGCTTCTTGATCTTGTGGTGTTGGGTAGACGTGGTTTGAATTCGGGTGATTATAAATTGAGTGAAAGTGAGAGTGAGAGTGAAGAGGATGATGTTGTACAAGAGATGGAAAATGATTGATGTAATAAATCTATGCTTAGTTTCTTATTAAAGTATCCTCTATAGTCTTTTTATAACATTATATCTTTAAAATGGTAGAAGTCACACTTCGATTTACTCCAACAAAAAGTCACTAATCTTCAGAATTAGAACCCTTTTGAAAATAACCTACATTCCCTTTTTAATCATCCAACAAAACTACTCATAAATGTACACTACCGTGTACTTTTATACTGTAAATCTAATAAAACTCTTTGAATTGATTCTGACTATAATCAAGAAAAATGCTTTATATCTTGTGATTTCAATTACTTAAATTACTTTAGTTAGGCCAAGTACATATATTGAAGATTTTTCTTTGGACAAGTTGTTCAAATTTGAATTCAATTTGTTGAAGTTAGTAACTTTGATATATTCGGCATCTAACTACTAGCATAAACAACACAGTATTCTTTGCAATATGCAAAACAATGGTAAATAGATGCAAATTAAAGAACCATATGAAAATACAATAGTGCATGTACAACTTTATTAGTCATCAATACAAAAGTCTTGTTTCCAAGCACCAGAATATGGTGGACTGTGAAGGTCAAATATCTGGTCAAGAATAATATGAGTAGTCAATACTAAGCATATATTTACAAATAAAATCGCTCAAGTTAAGAAATAGACAAATAAAGAATGTAGAGTCTTCATTAACGAGGGTATGATTAATCATCTCCATTGTTAAGATTTTCGATAACTAGTTTAACTGAATCTGATTTTTTTTTTTTTTTTTTAAACATCTCATAGAGGCATTTCATCAAACATTGTTATGCATTTCTAACAAACTATCGATCTAAGTGTCCTATCAAATTAATTAGAAGCAATCATAATCCATGAGATGTAAGTAGGTTTGACCTGTTGCAACTCATGGAACCGACAACAACCAACTCGAACAGAGGTGCAGCCATACAACAAGATAACGACAAGAATAAGTGTAGAAGGAATTAAGGAAGAACAAATCGATGTAATCAAACAACAAAGAAGAGATGGAATTCAATGGAACAACAGCTACAAACAATCAGAATAAACAAACAAAAGTAGCAGGAAGAAGAAATCGATACAACAGAAGACGTTCGATGAAAAACCGAAGAGGGGAAGAAGAACACGACGCGTACATTTTTCCAGGGGATATGTAGTCGTTTTATGGTTCTAGTTCTAAACCTAAAATTATTTATATATTAAATTAAAAAATAAATAAAAACGATTTTTTAAGAAAACTAACTATGGATTTTGGGTTTTTTTATATTTTTTTATCATTATAATTTTAGTTTTTATTTATTTATTATTATTTTACAACTAAAAACCAAACCGTCAAATATTATTGAGGTTATTGTTTATGATTTTTACACACTCAAGTATATACGTATCTAACTAAAAACCACACCAATGAATTTTTTGAAATGGTTCTGGTTTTTTCGTATGTGATTCGGTTTGAGTTTTGTAGCACATCCTATGAGTATGTATATATATTCATTTCTTTTTTAATAAAACATTTTACCAAAAAATCTATCTAATTATAGCAATATCACTCAAATATAAAACTATTTTCACTTTTATAGTTTTATAATTGGATAGATTTTCCAAAACGTAATTAATATCCTAAAAAACTGACTCGTACATTTTTGGAAATACAATATCTAATCAAGAAAAAAAAAATTACAAAGGTCAAAGATGTAATAGAAAAAACTGAAAATATAATGCTATAATACACATATAAATAAGAGTATAATGCATTAATATCCAAATAACTAAAAGTATGTTGTTATTTCTTGCACTTACCCAATATGTATAACATATTTATTTTTCTTCTTAAACCTCCTATGGTGTTTTTAGCATCTTTGGTGTGTTCTAAGCGTGACTAAAACTGATTTTAAGCGACATGCAGACCTAATAAAAAACGTGCATTACACAGCCAATAAGAAAAGGTTACTAATTATAAATACGTTATAAGATCCTTAAAAAATTTCTTGGATATAGGACACAAACACAACTAAATTCCAAAATATTGGCCAAGTTAAGTTGTAAGGTTGTTACACAGCCCATGATCTATCGCCTATGTTTAAAAAACAAACAAGCAGTAGAATCAGAGAAAAATGCAAATAGCATAGTCCCAATATCTCCACGAAATTGAAAAGATATTATATTCATTTCGCATACTATATAAAGCCAACCTCTAGGCAAAGAGTTTAATTACTCCAACTCATAGTCTCATACACATCCCTTTTTTCTTATATCTAGCTACTACGTACGTCGACCACTATGTCATTCACAAACCAGACATCCATGGCTTTTTTGGTTATAATCTTCTTCTCAGCGACTTTGCTTTCACACACTGAATCCCGGTTTCTCCCTGAAACTTCAAGCTCTGAGAGCCACAACCAATGGATGGCTCCTTATGGACGCGTATACAAGGATGCTAATGAGAAAGAACAACGTTCAAAGATTTTTCAAGAGAACGTTCACTAATCACTACACTACATAGAGACATGAACAAAGGTTACAAACTAGCAGTCAATGAGTTTACAGACCTTACAAACCAAGAGTTCACAAGCAAAAGGAACCGATTCAAGGCACACGAATGTCAATATTCCCCATCCAGTACTTCCGCTTTCAGGTATGAAAATGTCACAGAAGTTCCATCATCAAGGGATTGGAGAAAGAAAGGTGCAGTAACACCCATTAAAGACCAAGGCCAATGTGGTAAGCATTGTAAAAACTATATATTCGAATTCATGATTAATTTCAGACTTCAACATTTCATCATGCATGATCATTTGTAGGGTGTTGTTGGGCGTTTTCAGCTGTGGCAGCTATGGAAGGAATAACTCAAATCAAAACAGGTAAATTAGTTTCTTTATCAGAACAAGAGGTTGTTGATTGCGACACCAGTGGTGTAGATCAGGGATGTGAAGGTGGTATTATGGATGATGCCTTTGATTTCATCTGCAACAACAATTAAGGAGGCATCTAAACATGGTGCAACAATTACGGGTTATGAAGATGTTCCTGCTAATAGGGAAAGTTCACTGTTGAAAGCTGTAGTTAGTCAGCCGGTGTCTGTTGCCATTGATGCTAGTGGGTCCGACTTCCAGTTTTACTCTAGTGGTGTGTTTAAAGGAGAGTGTGGTACTGAACTTGACCATGGTGTTACTGTAGTTGGTTATGGAACAAGTGATGATGGAACTAAGTATTGGTTGGTGAAGAATTCATGGGGAACGAGTTGGGGTCTAGAGGGGTATGCAATGATGCAAATTAAGAGATGTTGATGCAGAAGGCATTTGTGGGATTGCTATGGTTGCTTCCTATCCCACCGCATAATTATTTTGACAAGATAATAAAACAATATAAATTATATTACGAACTAATTATCAATTTGTCAAAATTATCATTGAATAATTTATATTGATGTATAAATATCCAATCGATATAACCGACACAGATAAGCCGGATTTAATATTAAGAATTAAAATGTCAAGTTGGCCGAAATAATAAATCTAATTATTATTATTATTAGATTAACAAAGTTCGTCCATAAACAAGATTAACACTTCGTGATTATATCTCATTATAAGAAATATAAGAAAGATAGAAGAAGAGTGTTCCGTTATCAAACGAATTTAATAAACAATACTGAAAAAGTAAAACTAGCCAGAAGAGTATAGATTCTTGACTAATAACTACACAGAATGACTCTCGTCCTTAAAGGCTTTTACGCACTCCAATGATTGTAAACAATAACCCCATAAGTTCTCGATTTTGGGGTGTGGAATACGACTCCATAAGAGCTATATTTATAGCCACCGAAACATTAGGAGATTAGAGACTTTCCCAATGACAATAGCTTGTCATGTGGCATGCAGATTTGACTAGGTCAAACCTTAATGCTCTACAAGCAACACATTTTCTGGAGTCTTCTAGAAGTTTTTGTATATTTATCCACGAAGTCAACGTGTGGTCAACGTTGATCGGGTTGGTCTAACCCAATCCCTGCTAAAAATATAAGTTCCTCGCAACCGATGTGAAATACGCCTAAATCATGCCAATTTACAAACCTTGCGTCTCTTGTTGAAGGCCCGAATACTTGCGAATGTGGTATTGGCTCATCCCTTAACCTCCACTAAAGCATTCGAAGGCATAATTACCATCTTGTAAACCAACCCCTTAAATTTCCAACATTTATGGGATATCAAGAGTAAGTATTGTATCTTATATGTGTTTCTGTTTATGTTAATACAACGAACTTGTAAATTATGACATGTATTCGAAAAATCAACTGTTTGTAAAGTTGCAATTATCATATTATGGATCGGAAAATTTGTGAGCTTGGATATCTTTTCGTATTGACGCATGCAAACTATGTTGAAACGTAGGAAATAGAAAAAACATCATAAATGGTCCCTGTGGTTTCTTCAAATCTGAAGTTTAGTCCCCGTGGTTTAAACCATCATAGATGGTCCATGTGCTTTCAAAACTTTTGACGATTGGTCCTTATTGGTAACTCCGTTAAGTTTTGTCCGTTAACTGAAGAGTATTTTCGTCATTTCACTACCACAGAGACCATTTATGATGTTTTTTCGTATTTTTTTTAATAAAAGAAAAAATTAAATATAATTAAATATATAAAATGTCTCACCTCTCTCTCTCTCTCTCTCAAAAACACACACACATACACTTCCTGAAAATCAAAAACGCACAACCTCATCCCAGTCTTCTCCCTCTCCTTAAAAATCTTTCTCTCTCAGCTTGAAGGAAAGATCGTCGGTAACCTTTTGACATCAACGTCATCTTTAGACAAAAAGGGTGTTTCAAGGGGTTTCGTTCTTGGGTTCAAGGGGTTTCAATATCTGTATTTGTAAAACCCAGTTAAAGAAGACGAAAGGAGTTTCACTATAAACCTCAATTCACTACCTGACCATAAGACGCTCCCAACACCACCCCATTACTTTACTTGTTGTCTTTAGATCTCTGAAATCCAGCATGTGTCGAAATTAGAGCTAAGGTGATCGATCAATTCCACATCATGTATCAATAATCTCTTTCAAGATTCACGATTGTCAACAGATTTTGGTAATTATGATCTGATATTCGTTTATAATGCGTTTGTATTTTGCAATGGAAGAAGAAGAGAATCAGGAGGTTGAAGAAGAAGAGAATCAGGGGGTTGAGGAGGAAGGGATCGATCTAAAAGTTGGGATCAATCTGAATCGATTTGATACTACTTTAAATCTATTGAAAAGATTTAGTTAATATCGGAAGGGATCGATCTGAAAATTGGGATCAAGTACACTGATACTAAGACTGAATATTTTATTATTGCTGTTCTGATTGATCTTTTGAACACATATGAGAACCTGGTTTTTTTTCTTCTGGTTTTGTGGTTTTTGTTTTTTTGAGTTTTTGATTAGATTAATGGTGATTATTGTTGAAATTGAAATCGGGTGCAGACAATGAATAGAGGAGAGCGAAAATAGAGGTGCTAAACCTGGGTTTGTGTATGATCTGTTTGGGTGTTGTAAATACAAATTTTCATATGGGTTCCATTCTAAACCTTTGAACTCCCTAGGTCAATGTGGATCTGGGTTTGTGTATGATCTGTTTGTGTTTTGTAATCTGGGTCGAACTTCCAGACAATGTTGTGAACAAAGCAAATCGATGATAGTGTTGGACTGATTGGCGAGGATGTGAAGACGATGAACAGAGTATGTAAGTTTCTTTGTGTGCATGTATGTGTCTAGAGAGAGAGATAGAAAGAGAGAGAGGTGGGACCTTTTATATATTTAATTTTTTCTTTTAAAAAAAATACGAGAAAACATCATAAATGGTCTCTGTGGTAGTGAAATGACAAAAATGTCCTTCAGTTAACGGACAAAACTTAACGGAGTTACCAATAAGGACCAATCGTCAAAAGTTTTGAAAGCACAGGGACCATCTATGATGTTTTTAAACCACGGGGACTAAACTTCAGATTTGGGGAAACCATAGGGACCATTTATGATGTTTTTTCTAGGAAATATAAGAAGTTTCCATTGGGAAAAAAATACAATATTTGTGTATGAAGAGAATTTGATGAATATCGTTTTACCTTGTTTTATATTATTTTAATTTCTAAATGTATATAAGAGTTCACTTATATGGTTTGAATTGTTGTTAAACTATTTAGAACATAACATACTCCAAAGTTCGATTAATGGAACACGCGATCTAATTTCCAAAATTTCCTAACTTGAAAGCAAACGCTCCAAAGAAAATTAAGTACGAAAAAGGATACATAGCTAGATAATGTAATATTTGAATCTATTTTTGCATTTTTGTGGTTCAAGGTTAGTCTTTTTTTATTTGATGATGAATAAAAAATATGTCGTTTAAATCTTGATTCCGTTTCGACAAAAGGTGAGGAATCCGATATTGATGGAAAATAATTATTTATGGAGTTACAAGTTTTGCAGGATATATTGTCGCATGAGACATGCCAAAGAGAATGTCATTTGAGAGATACTTAAATATGAAATTTGCAAATATGGATTTATTCCCAAATGTGTTGCTTGTATATAAGATCTTGTTGACAATATCATTTACCGTAGCATTAGCGAAAATAATATTTTTTAAATTAAAGATGCTGAAATATTTGTATCTCCAAACTATCTTCATTTTAGGAAAGATTGAATATGTTCACATTTTTAAGTATTGAAAATAGTTTCAACTTAGTTTTGATTATTATAAAATAATTGATGTTTAATCTTCAAATAATGCACAAAAACGTTTTTTAAGGTATTTTGTAAGTTTTTGTTTGCATTAATACAAATTTTGTTTAATTAAAGTAATTGATCTTTAATCTTCATATGTGCATTATTTTATTAGCTCGTTTCAGGTATGAAAACCCCATGGGCTGGTTCTAATCGTTTTAGGCATAAAAAACTCATGGGCTGGCTCTAAGGCTAAGAGGAGTGATAACACTCTTAGCACGTTGTCACGTCAGCTTTTTAAATGTCATCTCACTTTTCTCCATTTAGCACCATATCTTAACATTTGGTAGGGAGTGGTAATACTACTAGCATTCCATTTTTTTATTTTTTTTTCTAATTTAATTTAATTACTTTATTTTAATAAACAAACATTTCTTTTAATGCTACACAAACATTTTTTTGATTTAAATAATATGACATAATATTACACAAACATTTATTTGACATTTTAACAAGTTCTTAATGTTTTAATTTTTTACAACAAAAACATACATTTTATATACATATTTCATACAAAAAGTAAACTATTAAGTAAAGATAATGGTGTGATTTAGAAACTTCCATCAAAAAGTGAACTATTAAAAAAAAATAAGGGTGTGATTTTGTAACTTACATCCAAATGAAATAAAAAAGAATTGAAATAATCACACGCTGATTGGTTAATATTTTAAAGAAAAACCAATAGCCAATAAGATTCAATCAATGTCCTCTCTCTCCTCTCGTTGTTATGCCATTGACGCGCTTAAAGGTAGCGAGCCCCCTCGCGAGAGCTAGGGGGCGGTGTTCTTTCTTCTTAGCGAGTGTTAACGAGTTCCTTAGCACCTCCACTCCCAGCCTAAGTGCATGTGTTTTATGTGGTTAATTAGTTTATATTACCGCTCCCACTACTGTTTACAGGAGAGTAATTCTTCATATTTTAAGATATCTACAAGACACTCGGTAATTTACTTTTTCAGACTAACTAAAACTCTTTTGATCCTAAAAAGAATGCGTGTAACTTTCTAGATATTTGGCATTTGTAAAACTAATCAACATGAGTCATGTAAAAAGTTATATTCACAAAAACCATATTCACTTTTGCTGTCATCAGGTGCGACCTTTATGAAATCAATAATGCATTTAGGATTTAGGAATGAGACTTGTACATTTTGGATAGGTGTGAACATGGCGCGGTTTGATGTGGTTTTTAGCCAAAACGTAATATATCGGTTTTTGCAATCTTAAAACCATGATGTGAGATTTTTGAAGTGGTGTGGTTTTGTGTTTTTACCTGCGGTGCAATTTCGATTTTAAACCAACAAATAAATAGGTGCGATTCTAAAACTGTAGGAGATCAGCAACGAAAAAAAAATATTAAAGTTTTAGCTTTTAGCTCTTTACCCAAGATGTCTTAGGGAGGAGAGAGTCATTTTTCACCCAACCCACACAACCACTGCTACATCAGCGTCACACCAGCTTTTCTCTCTCTTCTCTCTTCCAACTCTCCTAACCTACAACATATGCAAATAATATATTTCTCAACC